GAACCGCTCGGACCCTAAACCCTAAACCCTTCCGACATCCTTTGATACGATAAGAAGGAAACTGTTTTACTTGGCCTTCAAGACATAATGAATGCAAAGAACAATCCTTTTGTCCTTGACCGTCAGACACATGACATCTTTGGTCGATGTTTATGCATGGCTCACAGAAGCGTCAAACTTCACTCGAGATGACTTAATTGCAACTCATATTCTTAGCATTCGTGTTCACCAAGATTAGGGTGATGACTTGCAAACAAAGGTTCTTTGGAGCAGCGGAGTACAACACCGTCAACACTGACATTTGGGAGGTTGCAACCCTACCTGTAGTTAGCGCAGCACCTAGCGGAACTAAAGAGTAGCCCCGGAGCACTCATCTTCAGGAGAAGCACAAGTCCAAACAACTACAGGTCAAACACTGACCGATGCAACCACCACCTTCGGGGCAGCAATGGCAATTGAAGCACTACTGCCACATTGAGTCTATCGATATCAAATCATTGACTAGACTTGCAATGGAAGAGTGATCTTCAGATTGAACCAACAGAAACAAAATCAAGCTATTAAAGCTTTGTTTTCAAGAAAGTTGATAATTAGTTATTTCTTTTTTACAATCTTCATTTTGGCAATGAGCATTGGACACTTATTTTGACATTTTGTGGCTATAACATTATATTTTATAGTAAAAAAAAATCGATTAGCCTTATTAGCATATCTTCTACCCTCTTATGTATATGACCATGCTATTTATGTTTTATGTTTTTAACAATTTATTTTCATTAGGTTGTGCTCCCACAACTTTTTAATATAGTTATATTTCAAGTCATTTTTCTTACCACACATTCATGTTTATGTTCTCATTTGTAACAAACTCAACTTAGTTATCAGTGGGTTTTTTATCATCAAACACTATGATCCATAAAACATAGCCAGTTTTGTTGTATTTTTATAAAATATAGATTTAAATTTTCTTCATATTATCTCATTCTCCTGGTTTTCTTCTATATTTTAATCAATAACCTGAACTTTTAAAGTTATATCTTTATCTTCTCATTTTTTGTAATAGATTCAAAATTTAAACCTAACTTGCTTAATAATTGTTTGATCTTCTTTTAATATTGATGTTGCGAATAATATCTAGTTTAGTGTTCTATCGAATAGTAGGGAATATAGAGAAGTTTAGGGACTTATGTGCGAAAATGCAAAAACTTTATATAAGCTCAAGTCATTAATCAATAAACAAGGTTTTTTTTTACAAATCTATTTGGTATCAGAGCTAAACCCTAGCTCCGCTACAATACCCGTCGCCAAATCCACCAGTTGGAGGAGCCTGTGTGGGGGGACGAATACCCCACAAATCTCGAGGAGGGTAGTGATACAGAGACAATCTCGATCTTGAGGGTGAAGTAGATCAAGATTGGGTCAAGAAGAAGAAGGAAGTCGTGTGTGATCTAAACTTGTATGATTGTGATTTAGGATGTCAAGAGAAAGAGATGGTGTATGAGGTAAAGGATTGGAGCTTTCGAGGAATATAGATCGTGGGGTTCCGAAGATCTTGATCGGTCTCATGGGGAGCTAGCGTCTCCACGGGAGTCAGCAGGTACTTTGATGCAGGTGAAGCTAGATCTCCCTCAATGACCAACCATGTATTTGAGTTGGTCGCATCAGATCAAAGTTCCTATAATAGAGAAAGATTAGAAGGATATTCGACGAGAGTCAAGGTTGAGCCAGATGGTGATAGTGTTGAGGGAGATGAGTGGAGGACTACACTCCATCGATTGCCTCATCAGTGGATGACATTTGAAAGGTGAAGGACATTTGGACAAAGTTGAATGGGACCCATGCTGGGACTGAGAACCATAATAGGGCACTCTAGGTTCATTAACATAGAGACAGTGGTACATGGTGATGTTTCGATTCAGGAGTACTTTATAGAGCTGAAGCGGTTGTGACAAGTTCTTTCTTGATCACTTCTCACCTATGTTGAGTTGTGGTGATCCAGGGTGCAAGAAGGGGGAGACATTCTAAGGATAACGCTGCTACCTATGCACACTCAGTTAAGGCACTTGTGATATACATTCTCTTGCCTTTATATCCACCACAAGATCGCTAGAATAGATAGTAGAGTTTGGTACATCTCGACGTGGGACAAATACCGCTTTTGAGTTCTCTGCCTATATTCATCTAACAATTCCAGAGAGCATTCAGACTGCTGATGGTATAATGCAGCCTGTGGTTGGTAAGGGTACAATGAGGTATATCGAGTTTATGGCTTCGTTCATTGTTTTGCATGCTCCTTCCTTTTCAGTGAACATTTTATCCATGAGTGCCATTATACTTCAACTAAAATATATTTCATTTGATATTTCTAAGGTGATTTTTTAAGAGAAGGGGATTGCCTGAAGACTTGAGGTTGTCACGTGACATAGTAGACTTTGTTACTTGGATAAAGAGGGAACTCAACCTTGACATCCATGATAGTAAGTGTTAGAGTAGGAGCTGGGAAGAGTGTGGAGGATGTGTTGCTGCTACATCAAAGACGCAGAAGACACTCTTTGTTTAATCTATGGAGTTGTTTATATCCATTTTCGAATGAGAAAAAAAAAATAAAAATTTGTGTGCGATGCTTGTGAGTTTGGTATGTCTCATCATCAGACTTCAATATATTCACTGCTACATCGTATTGAGTCTGAATCAACCTGTAAAAGTCTTTAAAGCAGACAAAGACATTATTTTATTTCTCACAAGATATAATCAAATAACATGAGAAAAATAATCACTGAAAGTCACAAAATATCTATCACCATTCATCGAAGTTGTAGAACTAGGTCTCCATGCATCTTAATGCATCAAATAAAAAATACAACTCCTATTATTAGAACTAATATAAGAGCTTCTGGTATACTTAATAAACTTACATTCATTACACACAAGTTTGAGGAGTACTTGTCAACCCAAGGGTTACAACATCAAACCATATGTTCATACACATCAACACAAAATGGAGTAGTATAGAGGAAAAATGACCCCCTTCTAGAGACAGTCTGAAGCATGATGATTTGTTGAATGTCCCAAAGTACTTGTGGGGGCAATCAATTTTGACAGATGCTCAATTGATCAACAGAATGCCCTTAAGAATGTTAGAGTGACATTCTCTTTGAGAGTTGTTGAGATAATGTCGGGATCCTTCCATTGAATGTATCTTGTATATGTTTTGTGAAGGATAGTAGATCATCAATACAAAAGCTGGATCCCAAAATTGTGAAGTGTGTTTTCGTAGGTTATTCTATTGCCCAGAAGGGGTATGTTTGTTTGAGCCTAATAGAGAATAAATTGTTTGTGAGTATGGATATGAATTTTAGAGAATTCAAATAGTATTACACCTTGGAGGCTACATCATCTTTGGTGACTCGCTAAATACTAAAAGTATGAGGTGAAGAGGGGGAGTGCAGTGATAGTGAGAGATTCGTACATGCGTAAATGATATCTTGTTCAATTGTAAGGGAAGGATCAACTGAGGATGAGCCCCGCCTCCTTGTGAGGGAAGGATTGGTTGTGGAAGAGCCAAAAATTGAGAAAAATGAGTCCGAAGGTGGTCGGATTCAAGCTCAGGGGGAGTTGAGAGTGTATATAAGGAGGAGGAGGCAGAATGAGACAATAATGCCTACAGTGCCACTAGTGCCATCAAGCTCCTTGTTCCGGTTTACCCTGAATCCTAAGAAATCTGCACCATCCACCTCAAAATCAAATTATACAGGTGATATGATTCCTCTCCCTTCTCCCACTCCCATGACTTTAAGGAGGACTTCTCGCAACAATGCGTGCCATGCTCCTGATCGTTTTGGTTTCCCACACTACATTGCTCAGTTTGTCTTATACTCTAACATATCACTTGTACATGGATCATTCATTGCATTTTTGGATACTATCTCTTTTTCCAAGTATTGACAGGTAGCTAAGAAGATTTAAAGTAGAAGTCTGCTATGCTGGAGGAACTCGGTGCTCTTGATAAGAATAAGCATGGGAGCTCGTGTTGCTATCGGTGGGGAATAAGACAGTCAGGTGCAAATGGGTATTCACAGTGAAGCAGACCTGATAAGGAAAAAAAATATTGTTACAAAGCACCATTGGTAGCGAAAAGATATAGTCTGATATATTTCATCGACTATGATGAGACATTAGTGGTGAAAATGAGCACAATCAAGACACCCGTCTCTCTGGTTGTGAATTGTGGATGTAGTTTATACCAACATGGTGTGAAGAACTTGTTTCTTCATGGGGATTTGTTAGAGGAGGTATATGAGGATATCCACAGGCTTCAACGCAAACCATATAACGGGCAAGGTATGTAGACAGAGGAAGCTATTGTACGGTTTGAAACAGTCTTCTCGAGTTTGGTTTGTCGGGTTTAAGAGAGCAATGATAGGCATGAGCTATCGATAGATCAATATCGACTACTCAATGTTCTTTCAACGACATTATGATCACATTATTATGTTGGCCGTGTATATGGATTTTATGATTGTCATTGGTGATGATGAGGGAGAGATTGCTCAGATGAAAACAAAATTGGGCAAAAGGTTCGAGATGAAGGACTCGAGACAGCTTAGATGCTTCATTGGATTTTGGTGGCTCGTGGAGCATAGAGGATTGATCTTTCTTATTGAAAGTATGTGCTAGACTTATTCATAGAGATAAGCATATTGGGATGCAAGCCTGTAGTTTCACTAATTGATCAGAAGGGAAAGTTGAGTGCAAATGTAGGAGAGATAGTTGATCGTGAGTGTACTAGAGACTATTAGGCCGTCTCATCTTTCTGAGTCACACTCGTCTCAATATATCATTGTAGTAAGCATGGTGAGTCACTACATGAATAATTCGAGTAAGCGTCATATGTTTGCAGTGCATTAGATTCTGAGTTACCTTATGAGTGCACTAGGAAGGGGTTAATCTTCAAGAAGAATGAACATGTATGCATTGAGGGCTATTGTGACTTTGATTGAGCTAGTTGTGCTGATGACAGGAGGTCCACATAGGATGCTGCATGTTCGTAGGGGACAATTTGTTCTTTTGGAAGAGCAAGAAGCAGCCGGTATTTGCGCGACAGAGTACAGGGTCATAGCCTTAGGAGTTGCCGAGATTTTATGCTGAGAGCTCTATTGGTAGAGCTCAAGGTGGACCAAAGAGTTCAAATGAAGTTGTGGTGGGACAAGTCAGCAATCTACATTGCCAACAACCAGGTGAAACACGACATAACCAATCAAGTGGAGATTGATAAGTTCTTCATGAAGAAGAAGCTGAATAGTAGACTACTGGGGATAAGTTATGCAGCTACTAGAGTGCAAGTTGCTGACTGCCTTACTAAGGGACTTAGCTCATTAAATTTATCTAGGTTGTGTGAGTAGATGAGCTCAGTGGATATTTTTTGCTCATTTTTGGGGGAGAGTGTTGAGAATTGTATCTAGTTTGGGGTTCTATTGAGTAATAGAGAATATAGAGAAGTCTAGGGAGTGCAAGAATGTAAAGGCTCTATATAATCCCAATTTATTGATCAATAAACAAGTTTTGTTCCTTTTTAAATCTATTGTTGACTTATAACTATCGTTCTTACTTTTGCTAAAAATGCTGTCAAATCCCTTGTTAGATTTTACCTAAGTTTTCTATGTCTTAAAAATTTTCTTTACTGTTATTACTTTTCTACTTGTTTATACTAAGGCCTTACCATTTTTAGATGATTTTTATGATTCAGGTCTTGTTTTTTTTTTCAGAATCGGAGTGGCATATTATGATTCAAATGCCGGACAACTTTTTGTTTTAGAAGTTTGGGAGGAGACTTGCGGAGACTTTCCTCTGATTGAACTTGGTATTACAAATACATATTTTTATTGGCATACTTTATCTTTTTCTCTCTTTGAACAATTTCGATATTCCTTTGTTGCTCCCAGTAATATATCTAGAATCATATAAAGAATTCATCTGTTCAAATTTCATCAAGGAATTCTTTATCTACACTAATTTTTTGTTAAGATTTGTGGCTTTTGGAATTGATTTGTTCTTTTGATGATGACAACTTATGAACACAATCTCATTGGAAAATGAGTGGTTATAGATAATCCCTTACAACAGTTTTTATATGGAATTCTCTAAGATATTTGTCTCCAATCATACTCTTGGATATTTTTTTTTTCATTTTCTTTGATCCACCCTTGTGAAGTGTTCTCGATAAATGCCTTTACTGCTGTGATGGCGTTAATTATGGAGTAAAATTTCTAATTATTTAAACAAATGATTGTCTTCTATAAGTTTTAAGTGATGGAGATCTGAATAGATGCTATCATAAAGTCAGAAATGGAGGTTGTCATAAAAGTCTAAATGAAGGTCGTCATCACAAAATCCTAAAATGGAGGATACAGAAGTATTCAGTTGTCATTAATATTGGAAGGTGAAGTCTTCACCATATAAACTTATGTAATTGTCACTTCTCAATATCTTACTATCATTAGCAAAGAAGGTAAGAAGAACAGAAGGGGAAGAGAAGTTCTCACAATGATGAAAAGAAGAGAAGCATTATCAGTATTTTTCTCCATATTCAACTCTTTTCTCGACAATAAGTGATTGTATTCTATTTCAGATATTAACACAGATAGTGTGATATATATGTCTTCATTAAGAAGTGCAATATGTTTTTTTGTATTTCTTTTGAAAATTAGTAAATATTTAATATCTGTGCAACCGTGGACATAGTTGAATCACATTGGACCGCAAAAAATTGTGCCTTATGTTTGAGATCTTTTGGTGTCATTATTATCATATCTTCATTTATTTATTTTTTTTGAAGCCATATTATTATCCAAACAAATATAAGGTGCTTTTAAGAATTCTGCTGTTGTTTTATGCCTTTGTTTGACCGATTAAACAGTTAAATATCAAGCCAACCCAAATGTTATCTATGCTAGCACAAAAACTGAGGAGTCATTCTTAACTGCCTTGAAGCGAAGTGGTTTGTTGCTGATACCTTATTCTAATAAATTTTCTCTTTATGTCAACTATCTAATTTTGCAAATTATTGCAGTGGGAATTGGGGAAACTGAAGTAAAGCTTATGCGCAGCTCTCTCTTCAGTTACGAGCAAGCATGGCATAGGTACATAGAATGATATGATCCTAAACATTTCCATCTGGAATAACAATTGCTCATTGCACATCTATTTGTTTACAGCTAGAAAATAGAAATTTTAATGATCATGGGTTCAAAATTTTAAAATCTTTTTTTTTTTTAAATTTGTTAAAATTGGAATGGCTAGAAAATCTGAAGTTTAATCATGAAGTTCTCATGGATGTTAAGCATCATCAAGGACGATAGTATTTTGGTTATTGGACTGAAATTATTGATGTTTCCCACATTGCATCACATATCTCGCTGAAATATGTATGGTAGGCTGAGTTAGTTGTATGTTTGGAAGCGGTAAACTGAACATAAAGAGTAATAATTTATATTAAGTTGCACAGGCACGATAGGTCAGGCTGTGAAATGAAGTTGGATTATGACACGCTTTCCTTGGGTGTTATATTTCGTTTAATATAAGAACTGCTTAGCTAATGGGATTTACGTGCTGGTTAAGCATGCTAAACCTATGACAAATTGGCATTCTTTGGCAGAATCGTTTGATTTAGATTACCCAATAATTGGATGGGAGTTGTTTCTACATTATTAATGTTTGAATAACATGAAATCAATATCTGGGTTTCTACTCTTTTCATTTATTTTTTGTTGCCATTTCTAGGACATTATCTTGCAGTTTTCTGGAGGATTATGTTTGAGAAGTTGACATGCAGTTTCTTCATTTACTGTAGGTTGATATATCTCAGGGTTGCAGGGATGGATGATGGGCTCAGTGTCAAGGAGAGAATATGTTTTGTAAGCAATAAAGATTCAGAATCATATCTTAACTTGGCATTAATTATTCAATGTATTGTCCGATCAGTTAATTAGTCGGCATTTTATATCGAATTTCATCCACATACTGGTGATCCGAAAGAAAAATTACAACACAAATGATACTAATGCATCACTGTTTAACTGCAACCAAAAATTAGTCCATGAGAAAGAACAGAGAGTGTAATACAACAACAACAACAACAACAACAACAACAACAAAGCCTTAATCCCACTACGTGGGGTCGGCTACATGAATCCTTTTTCTCCATTGCGTCCTATTCAGTGTCATATTTTCATTTAGTTCTAGTAAATTAAGATCATTTTTAATACAATAAGCCCAAGTCTTCCTAGGTCTACCTTTGCCTTTCTTAACACAAGTCGAATTTAAAACATCTACTCTCCTAATCGGATCATCTAATGGTCGACGTTTAATATGACCAAACCATCTAAGACGACTTTCTCTAATTTTGTCTGTCACAGGAGCTACACCAACCCTATCACGAATATATTCATTCCGCATTTTGTCTCTAAGTGTAAAGCCACTCATCCACCTAATCATTCTCATCTCGGCAACACTTAACTTATTATTATGCTTCTCTTTTAAAGGCCAACATTCAACGCCATAGAGCATTGCAGGTCTCACCACCATCTTATAAAATTTTCCTTTCAGTCTTAGCGGTACTTTTCTATCACACAAAAGGCCCGAAGCATTCCTCCACTTCAACCAACCAACTTGAATTCTACTATTAACATCCCCATCTATATCACCATCGCTTTGGACAACGGACCCAAGATATCTAAATCGTTCACACCTTTTAATAATTTGATCACCCAAAGTCACACTTCTGTCACTAGAGCTATTACTACTAAAATTACATTCCATGTATTCAATTTTAGTTTTATTTAAACTGAGGCCTTTAGAACCCAATTTAGCCCTCCATAA